TCCACCTTCTGACGGTGTCTGCCTCCGCGCACAAAAAATGAGATGGGCATCGCTGCCTACGCCGACGGCCAGAGGCCCGCGCATCTACATTTTTTCGCCTGACCCCATCAGTGCCGACCCAACTACACCACCACGCGCATGCCTCGCGGCGGATATGCGCAGCAGCAAGAAGGTTTCGGTCATTCCTTGAGGGTGAGTCTAGCCCTGCTCGCCAGAAAGACCCCCCCCTTCACTACAACCCATGTCTAAGCAAAAGCTTGTCGAGGAGCGAGGGGAAGAAGGGAGACTAGAGTAGCGGCGGGTATTAACAACCACACGCGGGTATTAACAACCACATTTCTTCAAATGGGGATATCTCCTTGATACAGTCACACAGCCCCTAGAACGTTTTTTTGAAGTTCGCGGAGAGACCAGAGCTTTCGTTTGAGCACTTCAGCGTCGCAATCAGAGCATCCAGCGACGAGATACAGCAGCAGCAGCACCACCCACCGCCGACGCGGGCCATCTTTGGTCTTTTGCTGGTTTTGCTGATAAGCATGGGCCGCCGCCAGGTGGACCCAGAGCAAGCTCGGAAGGCATGTGAAGCTGTTAGAGGTGGCATGAAGATCCGAGAGGCCTCTAGGCTCTTTGGGCTAGATAGGTGGTCGATTAAGAGCCGCCTCGACGGCGCGGTGGCCATGAAAGCAAAAGTTGGTCCCGCGATTGTCCTGAGCTAAGAAGAGGAAAATGTTCTGCTGTACGCTGGTCGTCACTGCTTGACTGCTGTGGGTCGGCTGCACGTGCTAGAAACCGTTAGACAGCTGTGCCACGACGGTCGCCCGATCCCTTGGGATCCAGAGAAGGGTCCGGGGAAGGACAGGCTAGCTGGCTTCCTCAAGAGGTACCCACGGGTGTCGGAGCGCACGACTCGCATCTACGAGTCAAACAGAATCACCGAGGACAAGGAGCCTCGCATCTTCGAGTTCTGTAAGAAGTCGGCAGCTCTCCTCGACGAGCACAAGCCGGAGGCCGACCACGTGCACAACACGGACGAGACAGGTGAGGATGTACTTGTTGACTAGTCTAGACTAGACTAGTGTGGTATCAGTAGACGCTGCAGTGTACGAGCTCGTGTGCGAAGACAGCGGAGATGGCATGTCAATAATATCTTGCGGAGTTCTGGTGTGCGGCCGAAATTTCAAAGATACGGGCGTCCTCCTGGTGTACGTACATATTGCTGTGCTCTATCTCTCCTGTGCTGTGCGCCCTCGCACCTGTTCCATGTTGCCGAAGTCGACGCTGGCTGTGGTCTAGAGTGGTCTAGAGTAGAGTACAGCAGTAGTTCAGACTGCTAACAACACAAATGTACCATAGAGAAAGGGCTGTGTCGCATGGTCTTTTTGGCCGACTCTTCCGCAAGCCTACCCTGCAGAAAGTGTAGCTTGCGGATACAGCAGGACAGCGTGCATGTGTGTAAATGATGTACGGCAGACGAGTCTAGTCTAGGACGAGTACCCAGCATAGAATAAGCACACCTTGCTGTTGCTCTTCCTGTAGTCCAGTCCAACTACCGCCGACGAAAGTAGACAAAGTAGGTGGCAGCTTGCTTCACGAAAAGTACATGACCACCCCGCCCCTTCGGTGAAGCGCGGTCTATCCTGCTAGGAGCGCGATAGACTGTCCATTGCATTGTGTTTGTGTGTGTGCACCTTTGCATTTTTTATCTGCCGTAGCTGGTCACCCCCCTTGACCTCCACCTACGCGATTTGGCTCCCTCTCTCGCGGGTGTAATTAGGTACCACACCGTAAGGCACGAAGACGATGAAGGCCTTCGCGGAGGCAGGCCAGAAGGTGGTTGAGTCGATGTGGTCGAACTCGCGAGAGAACACCACCGTGGTGACCACCATCAGCGCCCATGGTGCCACGTGGGCGCCAACCATTATCTTCAAAGGACGGCGACTCCAGCCTGACTGGTTCGCCGAGAGGAACGGCGCGAAGGATGCGAGGTACACGTGCACGGACTCTTCCTTCATGCAGGGCGACGTGTTCATCAAGTACCTCAAGGACGTCCACAAGCAGCTTGACGACCAAGGCGTGCTCGACGGAAAGCCGTACATCCTCGTGCTTGATGGGCATGCCTCACACGTGAGCTACGAGGTCATCAAATTGGCCATGGAACTTGACACCATCCTCTTCCAGCTGCCCTCCCACACGTCGCACATCACCCAGCCGTTGGACGTCGTCGCTTTCGGAACCTTCAAGAAGGATGTGACTAAAGTGCTGCAAGACTACAACCACGCAAACGGCGGGGTGTTACCGCTGAAGCGTGGCGTGCCCGGCGTGATCGCGGCGGCTTGGCAAAGGAGCTTTACACCAGAGCGGAACAAAGCATCCCTTGGCGGGGCGGGGCTGTGGCCTGTGGACATGGATCGAGCGCTGACCCGGCTTCAGGGCACGGTGAAGAGGAAAGAGGGGCCGACCGGGCGCCCACCCCTAGAGGATGTCCCCATCGCCATGACCCACGAGCAGCTGGAAGAGGCCATCGGGGAGAGGGGCCTGAGGCAGTTGAAGGTGGGAGGACGTACCATTACCGGACTCGAGGTAGGCACGGTGATGCTCGGCGGTCGCCTGACTCAGAGGAAGCGCGCCAAAAAACTGGCGACCTCGCGGGGCTCTTTGGGCCTTCCCGACGGAGGCAACATCAACTCGGAAGAATTCCTGGCAAAGGTTAACGCAAAGGAACGCGCAGACAAGGCAAAGGCCGAGGTGAAAGCGGAGAGGGGCAGGGAGCGCGCAAGGAAGAACGAAGAGGCGGCCGCGGCGGCGGCGGCGCGGGCACGGCAAGCGAACACGGGGGGTCGAGGACGGGGAGGGGGCCGGGAGCGCAACGAGGGCGGGAAGGGCGGGAGGAGGGGGGCGGGGGCTAAAGGGCGCGTCGTTAGTGTTGGGCGTGGAGGAGGGCGCGGGGGGCGAGGGGGGCGAGGAGGGCGAGGAGGGCAAGGGCTGCGCGGGATGGGGGAGGGACGTGAGGCTACCGGACAAGGGAGGGGGCGGGGGGCGGCGGGGGGGGGACGCGGCCGAACAGGGGCTGGAAGAGGGGCCTCACCTGGCCGTGGTCAAGGAGCGGCTGCAGCACAAGGGGCGGCTTTGCCCGTTCGCCAGCCGGCACCCTCCTTGTCCCGGGTTGGACGGCAGCGGACGCCGACACCCGTTGTTGACGTGTAGCCGCCTGTGAGGCTCTCCTTGGTTTGTTTTCTACCACACTCAGAGTAGGACAAAACAAGCTACAAAAGTCGTCAGTTTTTACGTGGAGTCGATACGTACCCTGTTGCACGTTGCTTGTTGATATTAGCGTAGGCAACGGTGGCGTTATAGCATGCCAATGGGGCGGGGGGGGGCGGAGGGGGGCGTTTGACCGAAAACCGGGGATGTCGTGATTCTGTCCCCGGGTGCCCTTTTTTTTTCTTTGCGATAAATGTTTCTCATTCATTTCTTGAATGCTCCCTCCAATTTTTATGTCGTGGGGATGTGTGAACAGTCCAGAATAGACTATCCAGGGTTAGTGGTGTACGGGGCTGATTCTTGCCGTAGCGACACGCAAAATACCGAAAATATACCCATTTTTGAACAACTATTTTTTGACCGTAACAACTCCTTTCGGTGTGATTTTTTTTTCGTGGTCGGCTATTGACAGGAGCAACCCGTTTATGCCCCAAACCTATTATTTTTATTCGTTTTCGATGCACATATCACGCCGTACAGGCAAACAGAGGCAAATCCCGCCCCCCACATCTGCGTCAATAACCCGGGGATATCCAATTTCCGTCCCCTGGTGGCACCAAAAAAACAAAAGTGAATTTTTTCTTCACGACCATTGTGTTGGGCACATGTGTGCCAAATCTTGGGTCTTGAAACGGTTTCAAACCCCCGCAATCAACCAATCGTCAAAATGGTTGTTAATACCACCCGGGCCGCTTTACCCTCAAGACTTCAACTTCAACATGGGCAAACGGAAACAGTTGTGCCTCGTCACTAACGACGTTCTTTTGTTTTTTTTGGACAGATAGGTGGTGATGTTAGCTATCGTTCGATACCTAAATATCTGCGTAGTTGGTTTTACTGTCGAAGAACGAGCTTTTGGCGCGGGAGGTGGCTTAGGTGGTTGTTAATACCCGCCGCCACTCTACACTGTTAATACATATACATACAGAGAGACGAAAGATTATTTAATCATCTTCAACCAACTTTATTTCTTCCTCTCTCTGTTGTTTTGTTGTGGCTCTCTTCTTCTTCTTGTGGATACTCTTTTTGTGTTGCTTTCGGATAAAAACGTCAGACGAAGAAGTGAATGAAATGGTTACAAACAGTAGCACAACAAACTTTCGTTGCGGCACGTAGGAGGGGGGGAAAAGGAGTGGATGCGGTCAATCCACCTTGCTTGCTTTTTCTGGGGGGATCACCTCTCTCTCTCTAATCAATTTTTACTATTAGTGAATTTTCTATTTGCAATATACAACCGAGCTCCATGCAGTCGCGGTGAGCTACATGTAGTATCACCCTCGTGGCTTGAGGTGATCCCCCTGGAAGCAGGAAGAAGCAAGATGGATCCACCGCATCCACCACCACCCCCCCACGCCCCGCAAAGAATTTTTCAGCCGAAAACGACTATTTTTGTGTACTGTAGTGTATCTTCTTGCTGAAAAAAATAAAATAAAACCTAACTACAACATACACTCTGACTGGCCTCGCTGGGTCACCAACCAGAAGCAAATCGATCTACGAGCGACCAACAACTAATAATAATACCATTTCGCGACCACCCTCGGTTCCAAAAGTACACCCTACAATGCCAGTGTCCCGACCAGCGCCCCTTTGGCATGATCAACTTGAACACAATCGGTCGTTTGATTGTCAAGAGCGATATCTTTCAAGGAATAACCCGCCTTTTTTCTCGTCCTTCATACAGATCTTGGGGGGAAAATTGGGGGGAATCGCGTCAGCTTGAGAACAAATGATTCACATTGATTCAAGGCATGCAAGCAAACGCCGGCCATAAGTCTTCGGTGAGCAAGAATGCATGTGGCTTACAGCGATACATACTGGTTGACCCGGCACGTTGGGAAGACGAGTGTTTGTGCAACTATTAGCTATATCTGGAGACAGAACCACTCTCTAAACCCCAACCCCACCTCGTACCCTCGACATATACTGAGGTGAATGTGATCTCGTTGGGTGTGCTTGCTGCATCACGCATCCTCAGCCGCAACAAAGGCCGCTGGACTAAGGACGAGCACGAGCGGTTTCTCTGCGTAGCGGGACAGTTGGGCAAGAACAAGGAGAGCTGGAAGTGGATATCTCAGGTTGTCGTTACCACGAGGTCGCCTGCCCAGGTTCGCACCCACGCCCAGAAATACTTTCGGAAAATCGGTCAGGGGCTGCCATTTCCGGACGAGGTACGCAAATCCTACGTACGTACGTAGGTGCACTAGAGACACGTGGTTGTTTGCGGAAGCAGCCACCTGCAGCGGAATTGGCTTGTGCGTTGTTTGGTGGAGGTGTAATGGTGGGGGGAAACCCCGGTCATAAATATTCTACTGGCGTCGTGTTTCAGAGGTAGATACTTTGACTATTGTGGATGTTGTTGTTGTTGTTGTTGTTGTTGTTGTTGTTGTTGTTGTTGTTGTTGTTGTTTCTCACATTAGCTCTATAGTCCACAAAACACGGGGAGCCCGTGGTCTCAAAACCCGACACATACGACGCCGCGGGGAAAAAAAACAAAAATAGGCTACAAACCACTCGGAAAAAGAACACAAAATGATGAAAAGGAAATAACAGGTACCGCACCGACCGTGCGAGAAAAGAGCCCTCGGAAACCGATCAAAATAAAACAAAAACAGAAATAAAGGAGGACGCTTCCCACACACGCCCAAAGAAAAATCAAAAGGTAACGTACCAGTACCAGGCACTACGCACCAGGGCATGGGAGTAACGGAGCAAATATAACAAAGAGGCGGCAGATGGGCAGACAGCCAGACGTACAAAAACAAAAGCAACAGCACAAGCGAGATCAAGGTACCCAACACAGCAGATTAGGCAGGGAGGACATGAAAAAAAGAAACACAGCACAGAGGCCGAAGGCAATACAAAGGACATACATACAGGCAGGAGTATAGCATACAGCAGGGGGGCAAACAGGGCGCAACAACATCAGCCGGGTTCATAGTTCGCCACAGTGCTGCCTCGGCCGCCCTACTCGCTTCTACAGCAGTGCCCGGTCGCCGTTTCTTCCCCCCCACCGCCGCTTCCCCGACTCTCTTTCTCTTCGGTCCTGAGATGGCCGTACTCTCTGCTTCTGCTTCCCTCGCGCGCTGGTGCTTCGCGGACGCTTCTGCCTCCTGCCTGTGCCATTTCCTCATGAGCCATGCCGCCCCGTCCTCGACCTTGTTGTACCACACCTCCGGGTCCTTGGCGCTCTCTTTCCATTTCCCCCCTTCCTTTTCGTCTCCCATGTTGAAGGCCACGAGGTTTTCTCCTAGACGAGACACCCAGTCCCTCTCCTGCCCGCCCCGGTATCCCACGCCCCCCGCCATCGCTCCTAACAGCATGCGCTTGGGGAGGCGGTTGTCCTCCATGCGCATAACGAAGCCCGCAAAACACAGTCTCCGTTTGCGCACGGTGACCTTAATTGTTTCCTCGCAGCCTGCCTGGATGAGGGCCTGGGCATAGGACAGGGGGCGGTCTGAGCGTTTCCGCTTGCTCCAGCCGATGCACCGTGTAAGGAACTGGCGGTGGGTCCCATTGAGCTTCGTGTAGTGCTCCGCTATTAGGCTCCACAAGGTGCACCCATACAGGAGAGTCTCCACCACTTCAGCCTGGAGTAGTCGGATCTTGAGCTGGCGGTTGG